TTTTCCTTCATAGTGATTAGAGTTCAATTTTTAATTGCATAAAGTATTTTTGACTCAAATGTGGAAGAAAATCAAACAGTAGATTTCTTAAGTCTTGTCTCTGAGTGAGTTTTAAAAATGAGATCTTTGTTTTGGCTTTTGGAGTAATTACTACTTCTTCTCCAAATGGCGTTTCAGATCTCTTCACTTCAGCTACCAATTTAAGTTCATTTGGTTTAGTTTGAGAGCTGATATGATTTTCTCACTAAAACATCTGAATCATCCACAGTTCTGGTTCCTGTTCAGGTACAACCAGATGCTTAAAAATGCCACATTCATGTATTCACAGCTTCTGTTCCTCAGAGATTCAACTAAATTCAATGTATTGATATAGTGCCAATTCACAACCAATGTCTTCTCAAGGCACTTTACAAAAAATAATTTTATTTCAATCATTGATACATTTGAATTGATCCCAGTTAATTATTCAAAGTTTAAAAAGTTTCTAAGGAAACCCAGCAGATTACGTTGACTCAGTGACTTTCAGTATTTATTCCTGCTGGAAGAGCGTGTTGCAACAATCGCTTGTATTGTCATTGACTTTACAGCAATGCCTCATACCGAGCATTTATGAGGTGACGGTGGAGAGGAAAATGAAAAACTCCTCTTTAATAGGAAGAAATCTGAAGCAGAACCAGAACCAGGCTCAGTACAAGCAGTCGCCTGCCACGAGAACCTTAAACTCTATTCTGGATTTAACAGGGAGTCAATGAAGTGAAGCTAAGGCAGAAAAATATGATCTATCTTTTTAATTTTCATCAGATTTGATCAATATCAGGACTGGTGTAGTCCAATCACCACTGGAAACGAGTCTTACTTGCTTGCTTTGATTATATTCCTCATAGAACCTCATGTTCCTGCAACACCCACCATAAAAACCTTAAGGGTCACAGTCAAAAGCTTTCTCCACATCCACACATGTAGACCAGTTGAACCATGATCCGCTCAACATTCCCAAAGCCACGCTGCTCCTTCTGGGTCTGAGGTTTGACAGCTGGAGTCAGTTTTTTCAGTGTGCTCAGTCTTCACATCATTTGAGATGAATATCAGCACACAAGGCATCTCCCATCTTCAAAACTGCTGTCACTCATCTATCTGTGTCTGTCTATCATGTAGAACATTGCCTGTCAAAATGTCCAAAAACATAGTGTGGAAGTGTGCAGAGATATCAGTGTGTTTTAGGATCTATCAAATTCCTGGTGGCAGTGCAAACAGCAGGTGTTTGTTTCAGGTTGTCCATGGATACTAACTGGATGGGTTTGGGGATCTGACATGTTTTGGGTTTTCTGTTTTAATTTCCAGGTGGTTTCCATAATAATAATAATAATAATAATTATTATTATTATTATTATTATTATTATTATTATTGTCATTATAGAAACCATGCAATAAGTTTAATCATTTCTAACACTTGTCCACAATCTCAGTCTCATTTTTTACTTTCCTTTCTCAATGTAAATCTGTTTAATCAGTTTACTGAAGCATACAGAAATACAAGTAGAGGCACTGTCTACTATCAGACAGTAATTCCACATTTCAAACTTAGCTACATTTCATGGTTCCCCACCGTCTTCTAATTTCTGCCTTTGGTTTTTCCCTCAGGGTCGTTGGGTAACCAGTCGGCTGACCTGTTCTCCAACATCTCCTGTAATGAGTCGACCAACAGTTCCACATCCTGCTCTCTTCCCGACAACAATGCATGGTCTGAAAGTCGGTATAAAACCTTGGAGATGTTTTTTATTGCTTTGGTGACTGGATCTCTGAGTTTTGTGACTGTGACTGGAAACATATTAGTTATGCTGTCCATCAAAGTGAACCGCCACTTACAGACTGTCAATAACTATTTTTTATTTTCCCTGGCCTGTGCTGACCTGATCATCGGAGTTTTCAGCATGAACTTATACACAGTCTACATCATTGTTGGCTCCTGGCCACTGGGACCGGTCGTCTGCGATCTGTGGCTAGCGTTAGATTACGTCGTCTCGAACGCTTCTGTGATGAACTTATTGATCATCAGCTTTGATCGCTACTTCTGCGTGACCAAACCCCTGACGTATCCCACCAGAAGGACAACCAAGATGGCGGGACTAATGATCGCTGCAGCGTGGATCCTGTCATTCATCTTGTGGGCTCCAGCCATCTTGTTCTGGCAGTTCATTGTCGGGCAGCGAACAGTACCAGCAGGAGAATGCTACATTCAGGTACATTTTATAGGTCAAGTACGACTGTCGATGTCCCACGTTACTAAGAGGAAAAGTCAACATTTTTAAAGTTAGGTTTCCAGGAAGTTATTGGAATAAATAACTCACTTCATGTCTTCATTTGTATGAGTACAAATTAGTTTCAATTTATGAAAGGAGATAAATAAAAGTCTTGTCTTCCACTTTCTTAAATTTAAGTCTCTGGAAAGGAAACCATGAAATACCGTTTCCTCGTTCACCCTAAACCAGAACTTAACAAAGGTGAGGAAAAACCATAAAGCAGAAAAAGTAACTGCTGACATTTAGTCCACTTCATCGAGCCAATGCCAGAGGTAAAATGGATGTGTTTCTTTACTTGAAGATACAGTGACTGACAGAGTCTGGGAGAAGCAAAAAAAAAAAAGAAAGAAGTATGGCCTTGACTATTTAAAATTTAGATTTTCATTGTTTGGATCTGAAGATGTTCCACAGGGAAATTGTTACCTGCCAAGAATCTTTTTGGGAACAAACCACCAACTTTCCCCCTTACAGAGCAGCCTTCCCCAGAATCTCCCCCACTCAGCTCCTTCAGACTAGCCAGCAGCAATTAGCAAACACCTGGTGGAACTGCTGAGCTCATTATAGTAGCTACTTCTCAGTGAAACAATGGTAAAATGTTATTAGAGTTAATAGAGGAGCCATGTTGTGATGACTTCCTGAAGATGAGTTTCAGAAAGAGGAGGAACTTTTAAAGAGACAGAGACCCAATTTCAAGGCATTAAATTACAAAGTCAAATTTGTTTAAAGTCATATTTGACATATATATAATTTTTTATAACAACTGAAGATAACACCTTTTATATGATTGTGATGTAAAATGGCACTATGTGTCTGGAAAATGCACAATATTGTCCCTTGAAGTAAATTTTCTCTTGGAGTCTGAGAATTATGATCTCACAATACTTTTAGCTTGATCTCTTAAAAATGAGTTTCTCTCATCTCAAAAGCAATTCAGCTTCAAAAATATCAATTGCTGTTTTGCAAACAGTTAAACTTTCTGTTATTGAAGTCATGTGGTTTCAAATTAACAATTAATGTAGATCAAGCAATGTTGAGCGGATCATGGTTTAACCAGTCTACATGTGTGGATGTGGAGAAAGCTTTTGACTGTGACCCTTAAGGTTTTTATGGTGGGTGTTGCAGGAACATGAGGTTCTATGAGGAATATAATCAAAACAAGCAATGTAATGTAGATCTCTCAATTTTTACTATTGTGCAGCACAATGACTCTGGCAGGAGAGGCTTCTCAGGATTTAATCTGTTCAATGTTTCACATGGAAGGTCATTAGTAGAGGACCACTCTGTACTACAGTCCTTATGTAAACAACAGAAGGTTTGCATACATAACAGTATAATGCAAATATGATATCAGGTTAATAGATCATAAAACTACTTTTGCATTTCCCCCTCTCACTCACCCCCTCTACCTCTGTTCATACAGGCCATTAGGTTTACCCTGTGAAAGCAGCTAATGTGATTTCTAAATAATTGGACACTAAGTAAGTTATCTACTGCTGTTCAGTGGAACCCAGCTTAAAGAATACTGGACAGTCACTTCATTAAATACATTCTCTATATTTTAAAGATATTAAGAATTATTATTTTGTTCCAAGTCATTAAATCACCTGAAAGGCCTTTTGAAACTGATTTTACTGTAGGATTTATGTTTCAACATTGACTAGGCCACTCCAAAAGCTTCATCTTTAGCAAATCTGATATTCTCCCCAACAAATTTACTGGTGTGCATTTGTTTCACTCATTTAACAAAGCAATTATGTTCATGTTTCATAATAAATGAAATAATTGAAATCTGCAATTCATATTTACTAGTATTATCTTCATCTCATATTTATTTTTATAGCATAGTCAGTTCTAATGATCAACGTGACGTGAAACCTAAATATGGTGGTAATGTTTCTATGACTTCTGGTTTCATCTTCAGTATTCTATGAGAAAATGATGGAGCAAAAAAAATTGCACTTCAATCAAACTAAACAAAAGCATTGTTGCCAGTGAAGATGAATTATTTTTGGTTTTGCAACATTTCCCAATGTTAGCATCACAATGTGAAATAAATCCTGAAAATATCCAATAAATCTGTTTCCATTCTACTGGTGTCAGTATGTGCTAATGCTAACTGTAGCAGACTACTTAGTAGATGGTGGATTCCAGGAAAATAAAGATATACATAAGGATTTTGAGGAAGATATGCAATGGAAAAAAAAACCCTATATTTATTAACTATGACCATGATTTTGCAACAACTTGGTAGTATTTTCTTAGCAAGAAGGTCCCAGGTTTGAATCCCAGCCAGTCTTTCTGCATGAAGCTTCTCTCAAGAAGCATGACATGGACTGCTCTACATTTCAAGTGGGAATAGATGATGGAAACCCAAAAGCCAATTTGAAACAATATCTGGTAATATCTGGTAAATAATAATATCTGGTAAATTCTTTGGAAGAGTTTTTTTATTATTATTATTTCCACCCCTTCAAGAATCCAATTTGAAAATTGGTGGAAAATTTGATATAAATGCAACCAGAGCTGAGTTTGTGAGAATATCCTTTTATTTTGACCAAAAATAGTCTTTGTATAGTCTTTACATGGTTTGTATTAGTCAGTGCAAAGCGTCGGTCTCAATATTAGTCTAGTAAACGTGTGAAGTATACAAAATGCTTTTTATTGGACTTTAAATTGTTGCCTGTGTATCTAACTCTTATATGTCTTAATTCCCTCTGAATGTGAACCACAAGATTTTATTGAGTTTATGTTTTTCTTTTCTCTGTTTCCTCCTCCAGTTCCTTTCTAACCCTGCAGTGACCTTTGGGACGGCTATAGCTGCCTTCTATCTGCCCGTCGTTATTATGACAGTCCTATACATCAACATCTCCTTGGCTTCCAGGAGCAGAGTCTCCAAACACAAACCTGAGAAGAAAGAGAAGAAGGGAATCAAGTAAGATTGATCAGTGAATTAAACATCAAACTTCTTTGAAATACTTTCTGGACATAAGAGGGATTTATTTATTTATTTTTCTCAAATTCAACCTAGCTTAAAAAATACCAGTGGTTTACATACCCCGTATATAATGATGCAATCTTTTTCTTCACTCTGACATTAAATCCGGTTTAACTTTTCAGTGTGGCTCTGATTAGATCATGTCATGAATTAACTCATCAAACCTTTATCCACCTGCAACATCATCCAAAACTGATTGATGACATAATGAGTCTAAATTTAAAGAAAGTCACAAAGATTTTTGAAAAGAAAAAAATATTCTGACATTTAGAAAATTGAAACAGTTTAATGAAACAGGATAACTTTAGAATGATTTAATATCAGGAAGCAGGACAAAAAAGGAGTTACTGTTTGATATTATTGTAAAACAGCTTTGGCAACGTCCAAAAACATTCTCTAAGAGTCTTAAGCATATTTTCTAATTGAATATAATAACTGTCCATTTCCCCAGACCTCCCAACCTGCTAAAGAGTCACATGATAAAGCAGAACAACAACAACGATACCAGCCCTCAAGCCAGTCCTCGCTCCACTCCCAAGGCCAGCCTGGACTCCACCACCACCGCCCTGGATGGAGTAAAGAACGGCCAGGTGGAGGAACAGAAACCTCCCCAAGCCGAAGCCCTGGGGCACCCCAGTCCCAGACTGGCACAGGTATTGGCTTATTCTTCTAAAGTTTACTAGATATTAGAAAGTTTAGTTGTTGGAAAAATCAAACTCTAAGCTTTAGTATGAGGGTCTTTGCATCCATTTTGATTAAACTTGCAGGATGTTTATCTCTTGAGTTGTTCCCAATAGTGAAAGAAATGTGGAATTTAAGCTGATCAGCATTATCACATTCTCTGTATGAATATGGCCTTAAATCATAAATAAATAACTGTAGTCTTAGAGCTATTTCCACATTTATTCAGTCCCCTCCGGTAACTGTGGAGCTGAATATCGTCCGTTCCCTCGGTTCTCCCTGCGGTGTATAGCTCAGGGCCTCATCCTGAAAACCTGAGTTATTTCCTCTTTAAATCCTCTCTGGTTCTGAATCCTCTTATGTTCCTTTTTCCTTCTGTTGCTTTCACTTGAAATTGTTCTGTCTAGATGTTTGAAAATGAGGAGAAGAAACTCTAAATACATCTTTGAACACTGATGATGTTAGACTTATTTTATTATCATTGCACAAAGACACAACAGTGAATTTAGAAACGAAATGTTGTTGCTTGGCTACCAGAGTACACATAAAAAGTACTGAAAAACTTTAAGTGTGACTCTACATAGATTTAAAGCTATATATAGCTTTAAATCTGTAGGTTTATGAATTTATTAGAGCCATAGTTTAAAGGACAGTCTTAGTTTGAATGTTGGTGTTGCTGAAGAAGAAAAAGATAAAGATGATAGAGGGAATTGTTAAGACAAAGAGAGAGAGAAGGTGAAACAGGTTAAAAACTGAGAAACCACACCCCAGTAAAACTGAGACAGATCTCCATAGCAACACTGAAAACCTTATTGTTACTTTTTGGTGCAGGCAGAACGTTGCGCGCCTATATGATTGTCAGTGTTGTTGTTTTGTTCTGAAGGATGAATGCCCTCGGCCTACATGTTCACCTTTACCTTCTGTTTCAGCTCCAGCAGCAGCTGTACGGCAGCATAAAGTGTTTATGCTAAATTACAATTGGGTTCAAAATAATAGCATGTCTATAAAAAGTGAGCAATGCTCAAAATCCTTCTGATAGCTTTTATTTTGGTAAATGTCATGGAAGCAGATAATATTCTTCCCTAAATCACAAACTTACACAGATTTTAGCTCATATATTATCAGTTTGTTGTTTCTTGTATAGATTCAAACATTTTTTATTGTTTTTTTATTTACTTATGTTCATACACATCTTCTACCTTTTTTGCTATAAATTAACTTACTTAGCTGTGGATCATTTGTAATCTGAGTGTGCTGTTTTAATAACTGCACAGTAATATATTTTTTGTTGTAGATTTGTACAGTGTTTTATTATTTTTACCTTTGTGTGAATATATATGTCCACACTGCTGTGATACCTGAATTTGCCCTCTGTGGGACAACAAATGATAAACATTACTACATCACTACAGAAACAGGTGAGAAATATTAGATCATCCAAATTAACATAAGCGTCTCCATTTTTAATTTACATAGTCAAACCTTTATTGTGTAAGCTGAAAACTTGGAAAACGTAGTGAACCACTGAACTGATGTTTAGCTGTTTCTGAGATCTGTGTTGCCTCAGAATCAGCATATTTGACCTCACCTGTTTGAGTTTCAGCCACTCGTTGTGTAAGGAAACATGACTTGTTCAAGTATTTTCTTGTATTCAGACTGATCCATGATCACTGGTGTTAGAGCAGTAGATCATAAACACCACAGCATGAGAAACATTTCCTTTCTTTAGAGCCTTTACCACAGTGCATCATAGTTTAAAATCAGTGTTTGGGAAATTATCTGACAAACTGTCTGTGGCCCAAAAAGAAAAATCTGTCTTTTATCACTCCCTTAAATGTTCCATCATATCTCTTTTGTTCAGAAAATGTTGATTATAAGGTGTTAACTCTTTTGCCAAGTTGGTTTTATTCAGCACTGTAAAGTGTTCGAACCTCTACCACAGTTTGCGAGACTGAAGGACTGTGTGTCTACACAGCAAATTCGGAAGTGTCAGATTTCCAGTGCAAGGGTTGTATGTTAAAAATACAGTGTTAATTAAACAATATGAGTGTTAGTGAGTGTTAAGCCGTTTTCGCACTGCAAGGAACTGAACGGTATGGAAAGGAACGGTTCCACCCGTACTGCAGCCCTGTTGTGTTTGCATATACACTGAGGGCGCCATCGAAGCGGTACCGCACGTCATTATTTTTGAAACTAAACAATGTGGTTCACAACCTTCACCAGTTTAGGTTTTGAGTTGGTTATTTGCCAACTACCAAGATAATAAAGAAGAAGAACAGTTACTACTACGACGACAACAACTCAACAATGGATGGCATGGATTTAATTTTGCTGCTCATCAAAATAAAATACAGTTTAGTGAGAGCCAGCTGTCAACGGAAAATCAACGTCTGACTCCATAACAACCAGCGGCCAATCAGCTGCTGATTCTAAGCAGAACCGCTTGGCCGGCCCGATTGGAACCACAGCTCTTGTGGTTCCAAGGGGCCGGGTGGAACCAGTCAGAAGTTCTAATGCAAACACAGTCTGCCCTACTTTGAAACCGTTCCGTTCCTTGCAGTGTGAAAACGGCTTTAGTTTCCCTAAAACTCACTAAAGAGTTCCAAAGAGTTAAACAAAAAGCAATCCAGTCCAATGTTAATTTCTAAATTAACTCCAACAGTCTAACTCAACACTCAATCTGGTGTTGATTTAGAAATCAACATCAGACAGTTCCTCACACAATTGTAACATAATTTTGACATCACATCAGGGAAGGAGCTACAGGTAGGGTGGAGGTTGCAACAGGCCCCCAGTCTGATCTAGAAAGGGACCACATGGGAGGCAGAACATGCCTTCTGGGATCAAAATTTTCTTTATAACATCTGACAAGAACTATAAAATGGAAGCACTCTCCTGTTTTAGACTCTGTATGATACCCAGTAGGTTATATAGTAGGGTGCCCCATGGTTGACTCATGGTTGCTAAAAACCTTACCAGACTGACTGATTTTAGTGACATAGTGGGTGTGAAATATTGAATAAATTTAATAAAATGTTGTGCCACATGACTGGCTTTATTCTCACTCTTATATTTAACTTTATGACACAAAAGACTACAAATGAATCGTCCTTATTGTCTCCAGGTGCATTCTGGGTAAAGCTCGTCACCAACGTCACCATCAGTCACTTGGCAACAAATGGCAAACTAGCTAGAGCATTTCTACAGATTACGTTAACATGTTTTGAGTTTGTGTTGTTTCATCATTAGCCTGGTGTTTCTGTTCTTCTCTTGGTTTGTTGTACTTCATGTCAGATGGATTTCAAAATGACATAGTGGTATTGTTTTTTTTTTTTTTTTTTTACTGTGGAGGGAATCCATCTAATCATAAACTCCTGGTGTGGCCTATCTCTGTGTCTGGGCTCATTAGTGTATTCTGTTTTAGTGAAAGGTGAAGGTTTACACTCTGGATGTTCGCTCTACGTTTTTGATGGATCTGTTTAAGTTCCTTCCAGTCAAAGAATGGCTCCTTTCATTTTACTGATGTCAGTTCACAGACTAAAGTCAGAATGCAGATTCCACATATAGAATCTCCCACAATCCTCCTACCTGCTCTATTAATCAGAAGATCTAACGAGAATTTCTCACAGCTCTCCATGAAGCAGATTCTAAATTCATAACCATCTGCAGAATGCTGCAGTCCTCTAACCCCTACTTGCAGCTTTGGAGTGCCCTCAAATTAAAGCAGAGAGACTGCATTTTGAGTCTGCATTTATTACATAACTGAGTGGCATCAGAGTTTGTGCCTTTTTCTTTCTTACAGGAAGAGAAGGAGAGTTCCAACGACTCGTCCACAGCTTTTATCCCTCCAACAGAACCAAAGGCCAACAGTGAGGCGACGTCTGAGGTTTGTGTCCAAAATGTGGATAATATTGTTGTCCGTGGTCATAAAGGGAAGCACATGGTCAGTAACTCATGGAGGCTGTAACATTTAAGCACTGCTCAGTTGTGTGGTAAGAGAATATAGAGATCCTTTCATGTTGTTTACAACACACTGTGGGACCCGGTGTGTTTTCTGCTGCTGTAAACTTCCTGGTCTAAGGTTCAACGTCTCTGTTCAGAAGTGGTGATCTGCATACTGTGGCTTGCTAAATTATCAATACTTTTCCTTGAACTTTTCCATATTTTGTTGCATTACATTCACAAACATTAATATATTTCACTGGAATTTAATGTGAAAGACCAACACAAAGTTGTTATAACTATGGCTGAAAAACATATAATAATATACATAAGCATTTCATATCAGTCAATATTGATAATTATTGATTTGTTTTTTGTTTTAAAACTCTAAAATCCTGCCAACCTGCTGCTGTGACCGTTCCTGTTTTATCCAGTTTTTTTTATTTTTAAGCAGTTATGAAATATGATGGCAAAACCTGAAAGTGCTGCTGCACAAGTTAATTAACAAGTTGTTGCTAGGTAACCAAACTGTGAGTGAGTTAGTCGATGCCACCAGTCTTGTTTTGCTGGCTAGGAGAAGTTGAGCGGCTAGTCTTTCCTCTGCCTACATCCCCCAGAATGCTGTGCGATTTTGGATCCGATTTCAGTAAATTCAGACAGAACCTTCTTGATTCTTTCTGTGCTTCGCTCAACACGGACTGACTAGCCAATCAGAGGCAAACATAAGGAGAAATGCATCTCTCTTGACAGCCAATGAGAAACAACTTCTTAAGCTCAGAAAGAGTATATTATTGATTTATTCTCCAATGCACAAAAAGTTTATTTGTACAGCAAATCTCAGCAACAAAGAAGTTCAAAGAGCTTTTACATCACAGTGTAGTTAAACTTCATCATATTAATATCACTTATTTCAGTTTGGTTTCTTAATATAGCAATTTTTCACATAAATCCTCTCAAAACTTTACCCAAGTTTAAAAAATGTATTCCAGTATAATTCAGATTCAGATCAAAAACGATACTTTTCTTGCTGAATAGCTCAAGTACTTTGACAATATTCACTGAATCTGGATGTAATATGAAGAATGCAGCAGCAGAGCTTCTGATAAAGATCAAAACAACCTCCTGGATTTGACCATCGCTACGTTAAAGTCAAAGCATCTAATTCTGAAGATAACTTGTTCTATTTGGACTAACTCCTACATAATTCTTAAAACCCAGTCAATTCAGCCGTTAGAGATTTAAAACTCAGTTGTAATAAAATCTTGTGGTTTAGTGATGGCTTGGTGTCAACTTAAAATGGACACAATGACAAGCAGGAGAATTATATCACGACACAAAAAGGGAGCAAATGGCAGCTCTGTTTGAGTGATGTATGCAAATATTTTTCAAATGAATGCACCATTATGCAGAAGAGCAAAAAACAAAACAAAAAAAAAAAACAGAACTTTCAGAGACTGAATTTGCATGTAAGGACAGTAGGCTTGACATAAAACAATCTGATGCCGATCTGGACGTTTTCCTTCAGATGCTGACTGACCTGCTCTGTGTGTTTGACGCCCAGCACCACGTCTGGATTATTTTTAGCTACATACGGCCGTTTCATATTGTCATCTGACATCTTACTTTTTCTCAACAAAACACTTTTAGAATTTGTGCTTAAAATTTTGCATGTCTTGTCCTTTGTCTCCCTGCTCCTTCACACCATTTCAGTTATAACTCAGATAGACAGATAGATAGATAGATAGATAGATAGATAGATAGATAGATAGATAGATAGATAGATAGATAGATAGATAGATAGATAGATAGATAGATAGATAGAAGTACTTTATTCATCCCAACTGGGAAATTACTGTGCAGTTGCAGCATACACATACACACAGATCAAATTACAATATGAAAAATAAAATAAAAATAGATAAATGCATAAAATATAAAATGTAAGATGTAAGATTCTGTACAGTATGAACAGTGAAAATGAATAATCTGTAAAGTCTGTACAATACTGCTTTGTAAACAATCTGTACAATATCGATTAATGGACAGATATGTACAAAGGTAACTTAACGTTTGTTGTGGCAGGAAAGATTTCCTGTATCTGTCCCTGCGACAACGGAGCTGAAGCAGTCTGTGTGAGAAAGTGCTCCGCTGTCTGTCAACTGTGTGATGGAGAGGGTGCAGCTTGTTGGCCATAATAGACAACAGCTTCTGTCTACAATATGATGATATTTGAAGCTCTGAAATGGTTTTAGTCACATTTAACTTTAACGCTTCACTGTCTGAGTCTGACCTCTGACACAAACACAACAGATTATGTCAGGGTTCTATAGATTAGTAAAGGTTCATCAAAATAAATAGGAACTTCAGTAAACAAATATGTTAAAAAGTGAAACTCATATGTTACATAAATTCATATAATATTTTGGTTAATTTTTATTAAGTTAATTAAACATTATCATTACAGACATGGTCTGGAAGCTCATCATAATGTATCCAGTTGAGAGCAAATGCAGCTGATTTGATAATATTGATCTCCTTACCTCATCATTTTTACTGTAAAGTCTTTTGTTAATGCATATTTGCACTAGAAGTTAAATAATAGTAACAGCAAATGGGAATTTAATTTAATTGCAGAGATCAGTAGGAATATTGAAATATTGTCTGTTTTTGATTTATACTTTAATTTTCTTGTGAAAATATGAATCTAACTTTGTTTCAATAATATCCAGAAGGCGCCTTGTCAGCACAGCATCATTTCTGGGTTATAAGTATCATCCTGTTTGTACCTGTCTTTACCAGTGGCATTGTATGATCTACTAATGTTGGATGTGTTGTTTTATGATTCCAGTCTAACCGGACTAGAAATCTGTGCATGTAAATGTTTTGAGTTAATATCAATTGGATTTATTTGAAAAAAATGTTTCCCCATTACAGAAAGACACATTTAATCATTTTCTGATCATCAAAAATTTTCTCAGTAAATACAACCAAGTGTTTTTTAATAATTTAGTTGATAAACCATCCAGTCATGTCTGGCCTAAGTAGAAAATGTAACAAACCCTTTTAGCAAATGATTCCCACCAATCATTGATGTTAACTAGCAAAGAGTCTTTTTGTCCATCTCTTCTTTGTAAATTGTTTTAATTCAGCCACACAGCTGGATCTAAATCAGAACTTTGTTTAGGACATTTAGATATGTAATTTCTGGGGAACTTTTTAGCAAATGATTTAAACAAATCAGATATGTTGGAACTATCCCTATGAAAGCCATATAACCTTTGACCTTAACATTAGCAGTGAGGTCTGCAGAGCTTTCTTCTGTTACTTCCTGAAAGAGTGAGAGAGTGTTGTTTGTTTTACTGCTGAAGCTTCATATCATAAACCATTGTTTGTATTATGTCAGCTTATTTTTCTCCCATGTTTTCTTGTTGAGACTTTTAGCCAACTTTAAGTTGTCAAACTGGTTATGGAGACCTTTAAGCAGCTAATGAATGGGTAATGAAACTTAAGTCAGCTTTCCAAACACTGTGATTAAGCAAAATTTATTTAATAATTAACAACAAAGTAAATTACTTTATAAAATTTGATTTAGATAGTTTTTTTTTTTTTTTTCCCATAAGAAATGACACTACGATTTGTGTGAGCTGAAAATGGATTTGTTGGGCATTTTATCCCCTAAATATAAAAAGCAACATGATTTCAGACATTATTTTTCTCAAAACTTATATATTATGAAACATGTTTCTGTGACACTTGTGTACTTGTTTTTATCAGAGGTTACAATTCCTTGTAGACAGGCTTGATTTGACAAAGTGTGTGTTGCAAACAGTGCCGGGCTTTGGAAATTTGACAGTTTATTTTGGTTGTATGGTGAACCCTGTGATAGTTCAAACGCCAAATGTACCTTAATATACATGAATACAATGAAAACTACTGCTAGCTAACCTCCACAGCCTTCTTTATCTTTGCTTCTTTATCTTGCAGCCAATCAGCACCAAGGAAAATAAGCGGTGCTCCTACTCAGCAAATTTGGAAGTGTCCCATCAACTCCTACAGAGTTGATGGGACACTTGATGGGACACAATTCAACACTTTGAAAGTGTCTATCTTGGTCCACTCTGGATGGTGTAGAAGTTACTTTTGAAAGTGTTATTTGTGATAGAGTTGAATCAACACTCACAGTAGTTGAAATCAAACACACGTCAGTGTTGATCTACCCAACACTAGTGTATATTGTCAAAAGTTAACACTATAAATGTGTCAATCCAACACAGGACGGTGTAAAGTATATATTAACATAGAAATCTGAGTTTTGAAATACTACTGGCAGGGTGTGCTGTAGTGGCGCAGGGGTTGAGCACAACCCACATATGGAGGCTCTAGTTTTCAATGCGGCTGTTATGGATTCACTTGCTGGTCTTCCCCTTCTCTCATTACCCAATTTGTTTTGACAATTTACTACCAAATAAAAACCACTAGAGCAGGGGTCACCAACTCCAGTCCTCAAGGGCTACCATCCTGCAACTTTTAGATTCACCTCTGCTCCAAAATGTCTGAATTCCCTCACCAACATTCATTCCTCTCTGCAATAGGCTGGAAATAAGCAGTTTATTTGATCCAGGTGTGTTTGAG